GAAGATATGTTTGAAATGGAGATGAAGAAATATAAATGGAAGATTTAGACAGAAGCTTACTGATTTAGCTGGCTACAAAAAAAGTCTCCAAAAGGAAGGGCTAGATAGAAGCCATAGCAACTGGAGTTTAGAGCAAATGTAAAGAATGGATGAGAGGAAAGAATCCTACCGTAGCTCTTTATGGGAAGAGACATGATTTTAGCTAATAGGACTTCTTGATCTTAACTTCTTACGATATAGTAAAAAGACTGTGGGAAGGGATACTCCCGTATCTGGCAGTAAAAGCTACGTATTTCACTAGGATCTTAAAATAACTGAAAAAAGAAACAGTACCGGGACAAACTAGACTTTTAAAAGGATCTAATAGGATACTGAATCCATGTAATTAGTGATCTTATCATATCCACACAGCTTTCACCAACCATACCTGCTAACCAAATTGTGCTTTTCTCATAAATACTTTCTAATTTCTGCCTCTTACCTTAAGAGGCTCATACCAGAATGGTAGCTCAGAACCAGGGCTGAAAAAGTGCTGATTGGTACACCAAACAATATCTTCATCATTGATTCTCCCTTGCATTATAACATGGAGCAGATGACGATGACAGACAAGAGTTTTATATCAGCTGATAGAGCAGCTCATGTAATGACGCAGCTGCGATGACCCTCTCTGAATCATGACCAGTCTGAAGAGCAACTATAGAGTCTGAAGGTGAACCAAGCAATTTCTCCCACAGATAAGTCTCTCCCCAGTGCTGGGCTACTAGATGAATGCCTCAATGCAACCCTTGTACACTGGGAAAGCTCTGCCAAAAGTAATCATAATCAGAGGGGCCTTTTGAAAAAGAAAAGGGGAAAAAAGCTGCCCATGGAATTAATTCCACTATGATCAAGTTATCTCCCCAAATGAAAAGGTTTGAATAGCTATTTTTCATCTCCTGCAACAAAAGTCACCTGAATACATGGCCTAAAACTTGAATCCAGCCCAAATTTCAGCTTTAGAAATTATCTAATTCTGCCTCCTCAACTCTTTGTGCATTATCAACTTGACAGTCGGTAGTCTCTTGGTGACATCCCCGATACGAGTCCGTGGTAAGCAGCACACCTCTCTAGAGAGTGCAGGTCGGCAAATGGGTGCCTCTGTACCTCTCAGAAGAGAGTTGCCTACTACTATCACCCACTGCCTTTTCTTAGTTGCACTGGTTATACGGGGGGCAGATGGGGCTGCCTTACTCAGCTCCAGTGTCTCTCCTGATGTGTTGGGTCTTTCCTCCTCGGTCCGCAGAGCGGTGAAACAGTTCTGCAAGGGCACCTCAGGCTTCGGGGGAAGTTTCTTCCTCCTGCTGGTCCTTGCCGTTGCAAGCTTCCGTTCTTCTGCATTATAAGCCCCGCTCCCTTCTGCGTGTCCCAGTGGAGGAGTTTTTGGCTGTTTGGCTGTGGGTCCACTACAGACTGCGCTTGGAACCAGCTATCTAACTCCTTTCTCAGCCTCCCTGATGTTACGCAGCCTTCTCACCGTCTCCTGCAGCTCAGCCACCTGCTGCAGGAGGTCCTCCACCTGGGCACACCTTTTTCAGCCAGGTCTGCCTCCTGTCCCTGCCCCAGGAGAAAGGTCTAGGCACTTCCTGCAGTCTGCGGTCTGCACTGCGGCCTCTCCTTTCAGCAGGTCCATCTGCATGGAGACATCAGCCACTGCTGAGGTAGATGGTGCAGACCCCCCACCTGGAGCCGTAGCCTCTGCTCTCAGACGAGTGCCCACCATTCTTGAGGATCAGGCAGGATGAGTGCCCTTGACCTGTGCAGATGGTCACAGAATGGTGCCCGGTTGCTGGGTTATGTGTACTTCAGGTCTCCCCTCCTTTGAAGAGGCGCCCTCCCTGTGCGCCCTCCCACGCAAACTGCTGTGCAAAGTGCCATGCAACGCCCTAGCTGACGAGCATTGCCCTGTTTGCCTGACAGATGGACCACTCGGTGGATAAGGAATTGTCTGAATCGTTGCACTCAAAAGAGTTGTGTTCAACAGCTTGATGTCCAAGTGGAGATCAGTGATGAGTGACGTTCCTCAGGGGTCAGTACTGGGACCGGCACCATTTAACATCTTTGTCAGCAACATGGACAGTGGGAAGCAAGTATGCTGACGACACCAACCTGCGTGCTGCGGTCAACATGCTGGAGGGAAGGGATGCAATCCAGAGGGACCCTGACAGGCTGGAGAGGTGGGCCCATGAAAACCTCAGGAAGTTCAACAAGGCCAAGTGCAAGGTCCTGCACCTGGGTCAGGGCAATCCCAAGCACAAATACAGGCTGTGCGATGAGTGGATTGAGAGAAGCACCTCTGTGGAGAAGGACTTGGAGGTGTTGCTGCTTGAAAAACTGAATATAAGCCAGCAATGTGCACCTGCAGCCCAGAAAGCCAATCGTATCCTGGCCTGCATCAAAAGAAGGGCTAACAGGTCGAGGGAGGTCATTCTCCCACTCTACTCTACTCTCATGAGACCCCACCTGGAGTTCTGTGTTCAGCTCTGGGGCCCCCAGCATAAGACAGACACGGACCTGCTCGAGCAAGTCTAGAGGAGGGCCATGAAGATGATCAGTGGCCTGGAGCACCTCTCGTATGAGGACAGGCTGAGAGAGTTGAGGTTGTCCAGCCTAGAGAAGAGAAGGCTCCAGGGAGACCTTACAGCAGCCTTCCAGTACCTGAAGGGGGCCTACAGGAAAGATGGGGAGGGACTTTTTACAAGGGCAGGTAGCGATAGGACAGAGGGTAATGGCTTTAAACTGGAAGAGGGCAGATTTACATTAGATATAAGGAAGAAATTCTTCACTATGAGGGTGGTGAGGCACTGGAACAGGTTGCCCAGAGAAGTTGTGGATGCCCCATCCCTGGCAGTGTTCAAGGCCAGGCTGGATGGGGCTTTGAGCAACCTGGTCTAGTGGAAGGTGTCTCTGCCCATGGCAGGAGGGGTGGAACCAAATGATCTTTAAGGTCCCTTCCAGCCCAAACCATTCTATGATTCTATGATATGATTCTGTAACACAGCTTTTTCCATCCCACACTATTACTGAATAGCTGTTGTGCTCCACTGATGAACAAAGCAAGACACACATGTTCTTTTAACTTTATTTGCCAGTTTTCAAAGAGATGAAGGTTTTTCCTCATATACTAAATGAGTCAGTATGGGTCATAGGTCAGTTCTCCCACAAAGCAGAAGTACAGAAAGATAATTCCATTGCCAAAATAGGCCTACATATATATATAGAAAGGTCATTAATAAATAGCCAACAAAAGCCTGTTTGGCAAAAGTATGGTAAGCCTCACCTTCAGCCTGCAAGTATGATGTGAAGGTTGGCTTCTACCCTTCCTGAAACCACTGGTGGCCTCTCTCCTAGAGGTTAGCCACTTTTAGGAATACTAGGAAATGATCCTAAAACCTCAGCTGAAAAAAATCCCTCAGCAAAGCCAGCTGTAGTACCACAAGCAATATGCATATTACCCTAAGAAGTACTGAAGACCTACTAGGTACTATGAGTGATATCTCGACTTAGGATACCACACACAACATGGAATATATTTGCTTGTCATTGTATTTGAAACCAGAGAAAAGTTTCACAATTCTGTTACACTTATGTTCTCCTGCCATGTTTGCATACCTCTGTAATAAATTCCTTCACATGTTTATTATTCAAGTAGGCCTGGAGCAGGCTACCTCTTTGCTATCATAACACAGCAACCACCTAGTATGCTAGAGCCAAAATGACACAAAATCACTGATGAAAACACACAGAAACAGAATATACATAAACTCACCCTCATAGAGGTTTCTCCACCGTGGGGCTGTTGCAGCCTGAAGACTTGAGCAACCATGTGTTCTGTGGAGGGGTGCAACAGGATACGTCGGGAAGCCAGTCCCACCATTACATATCTGCCCATTGGAGACAGGCTCACAGAAATGGCATTAGGGCCTATGAAGAGAAGAGGAGTTATTTCTCTCACAGGTTGACATCCCTCCCCATGCCTCATCCTCACAGCTTCTTCATTCCCTTCCAGCATTCACATAATGTATGGCATACTAAGCTCATCCTTATAAGGGGTAGAGAAGAATGAGGCGACCTGCATAAGAACAAATTTTGCGAGACATGTCCTTGCAGCAAGTGTTCTCCCACTAAGACAATGAAGTTCTTTAAGGAATAAAAAACTATTTCTTAGCAGCTCCCCCCTACCAGCACCTTCCATGTCCAGACCATACCACAAGCTTCTCCCCAGCAGTACTATATTTGTGGCTGGTTGGAAGGTCAATAAAATATTTCCTGTTACTACAATCACTGATGTTCAGACTATTCCGTTTCATAGAATCATAGAATTGTTAAGGTTGGAAAAGACCCTTAAGATCATTGAGTCCAACTATCAACCTATCACTGCCAAGTCCACCACTAAACCACATCCTCAAGCACCACATCTACCCATCTTTTAAATACCTCCAGGGATGGAGACT